AACATCAACTTAAAAGGAGAGAAACTCAGAGCAAGTTCACTAAAATCAGGAACAAAGCAAGGTTGTTCACTGTCTCTATAGCCATTCAATATAGTACTAGAAGTTTTACTAGAGTAATAAGACCACTGAAGAGATCAAGGGGTTATAAATTGGAAAGGTAAAAGTGAAAGCATCATATACATAAGTGAACCAAAACTTGTGCAGCTGGATACAAAATTAACTCACAAAAATCAATAGCTTTCCTGTATACAAATGACAAATGTCTGAGAAAGAAATCGGGGAAACACCTTTTGGAATAGCCTCAAATAATATAAAAAAATAGCTTAAGGTATCTATAACCAAGGAAGTAAAAAAAAAAAAACTGTGTAATAAAAACCTCAAGTCATTGAAGAAATTAAAGAAGATATCAGAAGGTGGAAAGATCCCCTATGCTCATGGATCAGAGGGTAAATACAGTAAAAATGGCAATGGTAGCAAAAGCAATCTACAGATTCAGTACAATCCTCAGCAAAATTTCAATATAATCCTTCACAGATCTTGAAAGGACAATTTTCAGCTTAATGGAAACACAAAAGACCCAGTATAGCTAAAACATTCCTGAATAATAAAAGACCTGCTAGGTATCTAGGACCATTCCAGATTTCATGTTGTACTATATAACTATAGTAATAAAAGTACCATGGTATTGGTACAAAACAGACATGCTGATCAGTGGAACACAACTTAAGACCCAGATGTAAATACATATACCTATGGACACCTGGTTTTCAATGAAGAAACCAGATGTACAAAATGCAAAAAGTCAGAATCTTAAACAAATGATGCTAGCCAAACTGGATAGCATAATCCAAACAGATCCAGATTTATCACTCTGCACAAAACTCATCTCCAAATGGCTCAGAGACCTCAACAGATGGTCAGATACACTCTAAATCAACAGCTGGGAGCCTTCATGGGTCTGAAACAGGTCCTCTGCATGTGGACTACAGGTGTGTAGCTTGGTCTGTTTGTGGGACCTCTGGCAGTGGGACCAGGTCTGTCCCTGGTGCATGAGCTGGCTTTTTGTAGCCCATTCCCCATGGTGGGATGCCTTGCTCAGCCTCCATGCAGTAGCGAGGGACTTGGTCCTGCCCAAACTGAATGTGCCAGGCTTTGTTGGCTCTCCATGGGAGGCCTTAACTTTCTGAGGAGTGGATAGAGGGTGGGTTGGGGGAGGAAGATGGAGGAGGCAGGAGGAGGGGAGGGAAGGGGAACTGTGGTTGGTATGTAAAATGTATAAAAACGTTAAAAGAAAAAAATCATTCTAAGTGAGATAACTGAGACACAAAAAGACAAATATAATATGTATTTGCTAATATGTGGATGCTAGCTTTTAAGTCTTCTGTAGGCATGCTACAATCCATATAATCACAGTGCATATGTATCAAGTAATGGACTAGGGGGAGGGAAGGATTTCCTGAGGAAGTGGATAGTTTTGGAGAGACAGGGTGGCTGAAATGGGAGGATTAAAAGGAGAGGGAGAGGGAAGAGAAGGGCTAGGGAGAGAAGACAGGGAGGGATAACTAACACTAAGGACCAAGATACCCACTACAGCTGAAGTTTCTTAAACTACATACATCTATAAAAGAAATCAAAATAGAATTGCCAGGTAACAGGGGAAACAAAGCCCTGGACCTCTCTTGCCACCAAATCAAACCTCAAGTGCCAGGAATTGGTTATGACTAATTGGGTTGTTGGACAAAGGGGTCCCATGGGAATCCCCAAACAACTCAGGCTATTGCCAAGGCTACTGATAGCTCTGAACAACCTAACAGTAAGGTCCTATTGCTGATGAAACCTACATATCTCACTGAACATGCAGAAGTAAAGCTGGTTCCTAACTACAGCCTTCACTCTGCTGACTAGTGTCCATGATATAAGGTTCTCTGCACACTACTGAAGGAGAAAGCTAAACACCAACACAGCTCCCGTGATCTGTCTGCATGATACACTGGTGCAATAGTGGCACAACACTTGTGGGAGTAACCAACCACTATCTTTGGATTATAGGTCTGGGTCAAGGGATAGAACCCATGCCTGACACTGCTCAGGTAGCCAAGAACCTGAGACTAGACAGGCTATTATTCTAGTGAAAAACAAATACTATGATTCTGCTAAAGCAGTCGTTCTCAACCTGTAGGTCTCTACCTCTTTGGCAAATCTTTATCTCTGAAAATATTTCACTATGATTCATAACACTAATAATATAGTTACAAAGTAGCAACAAAAATATTTTTATGATTGGGAGTCATCCCAACAAGGAGTCACAGAATTACATAGATTGAAAAGTGCTGTTCTAAAGGATTGTAGCAATAAAATGACACCTAATGACATTCTTTTAATACTCATAGATAAGTCAGTGTCTTGCTCAGGCATCATTGGAGATGCTTCCCCCTGCAGCAGATGGGAACAAATATAGAGACCCACAGCTGGACAGTGTGCAAAGACTGAGACCTTGGAACCCCCAGTCCTAAATGGGATGTCTTCAACAAATCCCTCCTCTACATATGAATTTAAGATTATGACAGCGGGCACAGTGCCTACAGCATGCACAGGGCTTCCAACCAGGTGATATCCCAGTGCTGAGGGGGGAATGGACCCAGGACCCCAACTCTAATCAAAAAGCTATCTCTAACTGATAACTGGTAGCAAAAGAAAATTTGGTTTTCTCCAAGGAGTCTCATTGGGTATACAAACCACACTCAAGGGTTTGGACCCTTTGCCCAACAGCCCATAACTAGCAGTAGATTGCTAACACAAAACAAACTCTATGATATTGTCAGAGATGTTTTATCTCATATCTGAGTTTTTTTCTTGTCTTTTATCTATTATGATTTCTGATTTTATGTTTTTAAGGGGTTTGTATATGAGTATGCATGTGTACCTCTACATGTGTGTTTCTGGGTGAGTTTTCTTTTTCTTCTCTGTTTGCTTTTCTTAAATTATGATTTGTTTGACATTTGATTGTCCTGTTCATTTTCTGGGAGGAGAGAAAGAAGGTGTGGAATTAGATTGGTGGGAGTATCCAGGAGGAGATGAGTGAAGGGAAACCATGATCATACTATACTCTATGTGGTTTTTCCTTTATAAGAGTTGCCATGGTTACAGTGTCTCTTCACAGCGAGAGAAACTCAAAGACAGTAGATGCTACCAGAAGTGGGGTATTGCTGTGATAGGACAGCCATGTTTTCATTTAGGGGAATGAGTTTGGGAAATTGGATTTAAAAAGCATTTGAACAATTTAGTAGCGATTAATGGGACATGCTATCAAGAAAGTAGTGTGGATGGTGATTAGAACTATTGGAGCCTGGTTTAAGAGGCATCAGAGGAGAAAAGATATTTCTGTGGCATAGACACTGTTCTTGTGAAGGTCATATAGTTGCTGTGATGAAGAATGTGTCTGCTTTTTGCCCTTATACAGAAAGGCTGCCTGAGGCTAAATTGAATTAATTGCATTTACAGAGGAAATTTCAAATCAGCCTTGTGTGGGCTGTCACATGGTTATTAGTGGCCATGCTTCTAAAAATCTGTAATGAAAAGAAGCAAGCTGAGGAAATTGTTACAAAGGGAACAACTTGAGGAGAAAGGGGACACAGGAAGTGGAATGGAGCTAAATCCTGTGTTCCGGGAGATAAACAGATTAAAGTGGGATGTTAGATGGAATAAAGGGGATGGTGACCTCAGGGCAGGACCCCATCCAGCTAAGCTTCCAACTTGTGAAAAGACTAAAGAGCAGCTTGGGTCCAGGTGTAGTGGTACAGGTCTTTAATCCCAGCCAGCACTCGGAACACAGGCATGCAGATCTCTGGGTTCAAAGTCAGCCTGAACTACAGAGCAAGTTCAAGGACAGACAAGTTTGGGCAGTGAAACAAACTGGAACACAGAAAGCCAGTGGAGATGGAACTGAAAGGGGGGGCCACATCCCAGCCCCAGCAAGCAGTAAAACTTGGCAGCTTGGCAGCCATGTGGTTCTGGTTTTACAGTCAAGGATACAAGAAAGTGGTTATGGAATGTCCCTCCTTAACTAGGGAAAGCTGCTAAGGTCAGGCATATGGCAGGGATGTCCCTGCCATGGAGGCCCAAAGAGGTCATTGTGCGAAGCTGCAAAGATGAAGCCTGGATTGCCTTAGAGACCCCAAGATGTCCGAAATGCCAGAACTGTGCAATCCCTGCTGAGGAAAGCTGCTAACAGGGAGTGAAAACAGCCCAAGAGAAAAGTATGTTGGAGTTGGATCTGAAAAGTGTTCATGCTCATCAGACATGAAAATGCAAAGCTTGGAGTTTGCCCAGATGATTTTTGGTCTTGCTTTGGTCTGGTAATTCCTTACTATGCTCCCTTCCCTACACTTTGGAATGGGCAATGCATATTTTGTGCTATTGTATACTCGAAGTATGTGATCTGCTTTTTTATTTTGATTTTACAGGATTACAGTTAAAAGATTTCATGAGTCTCAGAAGACTTTTAAACATTGAGACTGCTATAGACTTTTGAAGTTTTACTGAATGAATTCTTTGCATTATGTTATGGCTACAATCTTATGGGGGCCAGGGAGTCAATATGGTGGTTTGAATAGCAATGGTCCCCATACACTCATGCTTGAATGCTTGGTCACATGGGAGTGGCACTATTATGAAGTGTGGCCTTGTTGGAGGAGGTGTGTCACTGTTGGGGCAGGTTTTAAGGTCTCATATGTTCAAGCTATGCCCGGTGTGGGACAGTCTCCTTCTGCTGCCTGTGGGTCAGGATGTAGAGCTCTTTCTCCAGCACTGTGTCTGCCTGCATGCTGTCATGCTTCTACCATGATGACAATGGGCTAAATCTCAAAGTGTGAGCCAGCTAGCTCCAATTAAATCTTTTCCTTCATAAGCTTCATAAGTGTTGCTGTGGTCATGGTGTCACTTCACAGCAAGAGAAATCCAAGCTAAGACACTGCATGAAAAAATTTTTCATTTACAACAAGTTATGGAGAGAAGGGTGGCACACACCTTTAATCCCAGCACAGAGGACACAGAGGCAGGCGGATCTCTCAGTTCGAGGACAGTCTTGTCTACAGAGATAGTTCCAGCACAGTCAGGGCAATACGGAGACACTGTCTTGAAAAACAAAACAAAACAAAACACAAGGGGGGTAGGTATAAATAATATTTGGTATGTAGCTCACAAGTCTAACACATGTATTAGCTTCTCTAACCCATTCCACTTCACTTTCTGACTATGCTGAATAACATGTCCCCTCAAATGATAAGCTTTCAGACAAGCAAATTTCTTTCTAAGGTAGAAGCTTTTAATAGACTTATAAAAAAATAACACTATTTCAAAATCAGGATAAGTAATCATGGGTATATTTTCCCTCTGCATACCCATTATTCAAACATCTAGCCATTCTTAAATTAACAGAATCAAGGTAGTGTGTCAACAGAAGTATTGTATTAAAGCTATCAGCCCTAGAATACAGAAAACACAAAGTGAACTTGTGCAGTCATTTCCTTGTGCATCAGAAAGCACTTTCTTGTGATAAACCACCATCAAGACACTATAGGCAAATCATCAGGCAAAGCTAGCCCTTTGCTTTCAGAATTCCAGGGTTTAGTCATCCTGAAGGGGCAAAGACAAAACTACACCACTGTATAAAGATCAGTCACTTACTTACTGCAGGACTGCTCTGAACTTCAGATTGTGGAGTCAGAAATTACCCTTTCATAGACTCTTGCAGAGATTAAGTTAAGCAAGTGCTTCTGCTAACCATAGCACACAGCTACTTCTATCATTTCAACACCATTGTTGCTGATGCAGAGGACACTGCCCCCATCTCTGTCTCAAAGGACTATTCTTCACTTTTAAAACTCAATCAGCAGTTCATGGGGTTTAACATGGCCTACTGCCACCATTTTGGCACTGGTATCATTTTTACTACCTTCTAACTGTCTCTTACATAACGTCTCAGTATGTAAATGAAATGCTAAATTCTGTATTCAAACTAAGACAACAGATTTAAAGAAGGGGGAACTAAAGCTTCCCAATTGTGTTCATTCTTGAGGGGTAATGCCTTCAAAGTGACTCATTTTATATTATCTCAGATAGTCTCAGGTTTGCTTCTAAGTTTCAGTCTACTGATAGGCAACACCATAGGAATAAAAAAAGTACCTACAATCTCCACCACTCCCTATATCCAATATACTACACAGTAATGTCTCACAGTTAAAATGCTTTTGGCCATTTAAATATCTACCCACATAAATACCTGAAGTTTTAATATTCTAAAACTGTAGAGATAACTATAGAGGTACACAGTTAGGCCAGGGTTAGGTTTCTCAAACTTGGCACTAGTGATATTTTGGGCTGGATAAGTAATTCTTTCCTGCAAAGAGGAGAGCCAGGCATTACATAGTATGTAGCAGGGCCTGGAGCCTCTACTGATAAGAAGCCAGTAGCAGCCCACACCCATCTACTTTGGCCACCAAAATAAAGTCTCCACACAATCCCAAATGTCTTCTGGGAGCCCAAACTGCACTTGAGAATCACTGGATGGGAACTTTATTGTAGACATTACAATAAACTTGGGTTGCACAAATAAGACAAGACTCTATGCAGTATTACTAATGTGGAAGAGTCTAACAGATCCTCTGCTATCAGTTTATGGTGGGCAGAGCTTTTATATAACACACTACTAAACCACGTGGCTACCTATGTGTTACTATCTTTTTCCTACTAAAAACACTGACATTAGACAGGGGTGGCAATAAAGTAGCTAATTCACCAACCACCTTTGCATCAACTGATGGGGAAAGCTACAGTTCATAAATCTTTGCCAGGCAGAGGGCAGAGACCAGTCAAGGCAAATGCCCTTCTTTCTGAATCCGCAGTCTCTCCTTCTCCACCTGCAAGCGCTCCTTTTCAATCTGCAGCTTCTCAGATTCGAACTTCAAAAACTGCAGCCGATCTTTCTCCAGCTGCAGGCGCTCTCGCTCGAGTTTCAACTTCTCTGCTTCTATGTCCTGTGGCTGCAGCATGGACTTCTCCCCCTGGCCGAGTTCGTTGTCTATGGCGGGTTTCTCGGCGCTGACCAGCTGCAGCCTCCACTTCTCTCTCTCGATCTGCAGCCGTTCCTTCTCCAGCTGCAGGCGCTCGTGCTCCAGGTCCAGGTGGCGCAGCCGCTCTTTCTCTATCTGCAGCCGCTCCTTTTCCACCTGCAGCCTTTCTGCCTCGATATCCAGTCGGCGTTTTTCCAGCTCCAGTTTCTGTTTCTCTATGTTCATGAGCAGATGGGGCTCGTCATATGAGGGTCGGGACGGTGTGGAATTGAGGGTGAAAAACTCGTCAATGTGAGGGAAGTCAGGGAGCTCACTTTCCCTTCTGGAATCGGGTATGACAGATGACAACATTTCTTCCTCCTCCTCAATCTCAAACTGAGAGAAAAGAAAAGGAAAGCTAATTTAGTAACTGCTCTTACTGTCATTGTCAGTCTGCTCCATTATTAGCTTTGAATAATTATTGTTTCATTTACTACTTATTTGTGTATGTGTATGTCTGAGTGCAGATGAATGTAGACCATAGGACATTTATGGAGGTCAGAGGACATTTGTTCCGGAGTTGGCTCTTGCCTTCCACCATGTTGAAGCAGGGTCTTCCTTGTTTATTGTGAGGCAAATTCCAGGCTAGCAGCCTGGAAGCTTCAGGTCTATTCTCCAGGCTCTACCATATGAGTGCTGGGGTTCCAGATACATGCTACAGCATTCAGCATTAATGGGTGTTCCAGGGATGTCAGTCTCGGGCCATTTACCCACTGAGCCATCTCCCCAGCCCTGCCTCAATGGCTGATAACTTTCTATGCTGTTTGAGCACATAAAACTACTTAATCTGAACTCTTAAGATTATTTAAATGAATTGCCCGATGTCTCTAATATGTATGTATCAGCGAAGTAATTACATTTAGGTGAAAAGATAGGCATTAAGAACACCAGGAGAAAACAGAATGATTGTCTGTGAGCTTCAAGATATGGGAGCTTCCCCTACACATGTGGGTAGCTGATAAAGGAAACATGCCTCATAGGTTAATACTTACTTCTGGGCTTTGTGGGTCCCTTTCTTCCTCTTCCACCTTGACCTCTGTTAGGGATCCACCTGCATCCCGGAAATCTGACACGTTCTGCCAGTCAAAATTTGCATCATTTCGGAATGCAATTTTTTCATCGATCTCTTCAGTGAGGGAGTCGTCTAAATCCGACGTAGGAAGAGGAAACCCAGAACCAACCAGCTTCATGTTGGCCTTCATTCTCTTCCTTTTCATGAGTGCGCGCCAGTCGAGGTAGCGTCTCTTCACCTCAGTCCCGGTCCTCTGCTCTCCTTCTCCTACAGCATTGACGCACTGTGCAATCTCCTCCCAAGCCATACGCTTCATCACATTTATTGTCGTGTTGAGTTGCTTGGAAAAAATGACTTCTTTCCTTTTGGTAATTTCTTTCAAAAGAGTCTGAGTCTCCTGAACACTAAAATTGCTTTTCCTTTTTCTTTTCAATTGCTTCATTTTTAAAGCTTGCAGGTGTGAACGGCAAGAAGAGCTGTGCAAAGTATATGAAGAATTCGCTACACAGAAGGAAACCCAAGGACAAGCCCTTGTCGGTTCTTAGTTCAAAATCGTTGAGCTTTCATTCATCCAGTCATGGAAGCGTTCTAGACACCTGAAGGGGAAAAGCAAAAGAAAAAGAAAAAAAAAAATCCATCAACCTACAACTTCCACAACATACTGCAACCAGTGAGCTGTATTGCTATAACAACTGTGCAACTATACCTTGAAACCACTGGATCACTACCATGGCTCAAATAAAAGCTGAAATTTGATTCAGCCTCAGTTTATATAAACGTATCTCTGAACCGTCACAATTTGGGCTCATTTATGTGAAATATTTCTGCAGGAACTCCCAATGCAGAATATCCCCTATTAAAGTAAAAAAATAGTAAATATACAAAGCTAAATTGAATCAAGAAATACACAAGTCTACTACTGTTTGAGCTCTCCCTTACAGAGTTACAAATAAAAACTAATTCCCCATTTTTAAAATTTAAAAAAGCATTTTACTATCATTTATAAACCTTTATCTAGTATTTTTTTCTAGCTCCAAGGATCTCTATTCAACCAACTATGCATATTTAATAACATCACCAAAAATATGCCCAACGCATCTTTCAGTTTCTGCCCATTCTTGTGGGATAACTGTCTTCCAAGCAGCCACTTTCTGAACCAATAGAAGCCAGAGAGAACTAAATGTTCTAAAGAAGCATAAATGAACTTGCAAGCAAACTATTTCTAAAATACTCTTGCAAAACTTCTAAAGATATTTAATGATAAATTGAAGCTCAGTGATTCAATATGTATAATCAATGCCAACATGCTAGTAGTACACTTACAGTCAAATGCAAGCCTTATGTGAATGGAATTCAAGAAAAAGTATTTATAAATTAGAACACTCCTTAAAGACAATGTGTGCTATAGTTATCAACACAGACTCTGGAGCCAGAGTCCCTGGGCCAGAACACTAGATCTGAGACAGATGTAGACAACACTGACTTCAGACTCAGAGGTAGGCAGCAAGAGTCCAAGTTCCAGGCTTGGATACATACATAGTGAAGCTTTTTCTCAAAATAAAAAAAGCTGAATATGTAATTTCACTGGCAGAGCACTTCTTTAGCATGTGCAAGGCCCAAGGCCCTGGGCTCTACCTTTAGTGCTAGAGGGGAAAATATGAAGAGAGGGAGATAAGAACCAAAGCAGAGAGGGAATGAAAGGGAGCCCTAGGCCTGAGACTGGGGTTAAGTCACTTTACCTCCCTGTATATGGCTACACTTAGAAAGTGCTAAGAATGTAGCTTAGCACAGATACAGTGAAGAATACACAATTTAAAACACACAGACACTAGGTCTGTGCCAAATAAACAATGTGAATTTTTGCTGCTATATCAAAGATAACTTGAAATAATTTTGGCAAAGGGACAGCAAATCATAGTAGTGCTGGTATTGTTCCTGATTTCAGCAACAGGTGTGTAGGTGTGTTTAAATCAAAAGAGTTAAATATAAATACTCCATTTTCTGGCAGGAGCTAGAAACTAGCTAAAAATGACAGTATTTATCCCATAGCACTGAAAACTAAAGTATTACTAAAGTATAATTAAAGGTTACAATAGAGTGCACATGCAGCTAGTCCACGAGAACAAAAAGGCTAATATTATTTTAGTATATATCAAATAATTTCTGATAAAAAATTTAATTGGATACTTTAACATCTAATATAAATATGCTTAGGGCACATTTTAGAACACCTTAATTAAATTATTTTATTTCATTTTTCTGTGACAGGGTCTCATGTAACCCACTAACTTCAAACTGACTACATAGCTGATGATGGTTTTGAACTTCAGATCATTCTGCCTTCACTTCTAAGGCTTTAGGATCACAGGCACGTTTTATGAATGCCTGAAATCAAACCTAGGGCCTCATATATGCTTCCTAAGTCCTCTGATCTACATCCCAGACATGGACCACTCATCTACTACGAAAAATACTGAAACAAACTGATTTATATGTCATTAAGCCAACCTCACTATACTACTTCTTGTATGCTATAGGACACTTGAAGGAATGAGTGATGTAAATATTTTGCTTATCACCCCCCAACTCACCTGCTTCAAAGACAGTGTCTCCAACACATGGTATTGTGTCTAACAAATAGAAGCTTTGAAAAAAAGTATAAAATTAAAAGTGACCAGGAGATGGGATAGGGAAAAGAGAAAAAAGATAATATAAGGAGTAAGTCAAGAAAATGAAGGTTCTATGGCACACAAAGTACATACATATAAGAAAAACATGACAAAACAATAAAGTCACATAGTGACTTATGGCTGAGTGAAGCCCATACCACCTTATCGAGGGGAAAAATGGCTCCTCAGCAAACAGACTCCACCATCCTTTTCCACCAGTAAGGAAGTCACTGGAGACACTTTAAAAAGCTAAAACCTGAAGTCAGACAGCCTTACAAAATGAGTGAGAACTAAAATGATGTTGAACATGTACAATGCTGTAATGGGAAGTGTTCCCATATCACTACAGCAATGGGGGAGGCACAAAAATATTCAGTCAATGCAACAACTGTCATATTTGTGTGCAGATGTTTCTGAAAGCATTACGATGCTAATGTGAATGCAAAGGAGAAACAAACTGCAAAATGAAGGGCTAGCAAGATGGCCCAGTGGATAAAAGCACTTGCTGCACAAATATGCTGTGAGTCTGATCCCAGAACCCTCTGCAATGGTGGAGAGAGCCAACTCCCAAAAGTTGTCTTCTGGCCCACTCCTCCCCAGGTGCAACATGGCCTGCACTCTCACACACACCTTAACAAATACAATTTTAAAAAATAAAGTGAAAAAGGAAATGTACATGTCCATGCAAGCACAGTCCAAGGCTCAATTGTGAGTACTTGTCAACACAAAATGTGCTACTTTTTCCAAACTCCATTGCTAGTCTTAACTGATGGACAAGGCATTTCTTCTTTAGCCATGGAACTCAATATCAGAAATCAAGTCACATTTTCTAAGTCTATAGCTCCTCGAGCACATCTTTATATACTGAAATACTAGAACATTGTCCAATATCAATACAAGGAGACCCACATGCAGTTTAAAATTTCCCAGTAGTTGTATTCAAGTGAAAACCTGAGGTGTGATTTTAACAAATTATACATAAACCCATATATTCCATAGTCACTGTAAATGTCATTAATATAAAATTATAATAAAATTACTTGTTTTCTTCACTAAGAATTTAGAATATAGTTGTCAACATCACCTCCATCATTATCATCATTATTTTGGCAGCATCTTGCTTTGCATTAGCCCAGGCAATTCTCAGGTCTCAGTTTCCTGCATACTAAGTATTGGAATTACAGACATGAGCCACCATGACCAGTTTCCAGTGTACATTCTAAAGTTACTCGGTATCTTAGTTTGTACTTAGTACTTTTCACAAACTGAACAACACCTGGAGGCTAATATATATAATGGGCATCAGAAAAAGCCCATTATACCAGTCACTCAGGAGACTGAGGAAGCAGGATCACCTAAGCCTAGAAGTTCAAGGCCAGCTCAGGCAACAGAATAAAGTCCCATCTTAAGAACAACAAACAAAAAAATGATATAGAGAAAGCAAGGCATGCAGGTACAGCAGATGCTAACCAGTTCCTCTTCAGAGGTCATTAAAGAAGGCATCTTCCATCACAAAGCACTTCTCAAACAGAAAAAAGTCAGTTCATTTTAAGGGAGAACAAGGCATAGCAGAATGAAATAGACAATACTAGAAAGGGATCATGTCTACTTCTTAAGAACCAACTCAAGAGACTTATTTGCCGGAAACTCATCAAATGCAAGCTAAGCTAATTCATATTAGAGAAGAGTAGCCCTCTTTTGAGAACTAGTTTTTTTGTTTTTTGTTTTTTGGTTTTTTTTAGATTTTATTTATTATGGATACAGTCTTCTGCCTGCATGCCAGCAGAGGGCACCAGATCTCATTCAGGGTGGTTGTGAGCCACTATGTGGTTGCCAGGAATTGAACTCAGGACCTCTGGAAGAACAGTCAGTGCTCTTAACCACTGAGCCATCTCTCCAGCCCCGAGAACTAGTTTTATGTAGAGAATATATTTGGACAACTCCCCCTAACTCTATTAGAATTATGACTAGATCAGAAGTTAAGGTTGGAATCTCCACTGTCAGACTGAGTAAATAAGAAACACTCATTCATCAAAAGTGAACTATCTGCTTAAAACCCTGCCAGAGGAGGCCTTCTACAGCATTACAGTGATAGCTCACCCCACCCTGCTCCTTTCTTCCTGTTACAGGTCCCTGCCTGCACATCATTTCTCGATTGCCCTCTTCATGTGTGCACATGAGCACACAAGCATACCACTAAATCCAACAACTCATAAATGCAAGCTAAAGGTGTTTACTTTTAAACCTGATGGTCATATCAGAAAACAAGTAAAAAATCAACTAGTTTACTTCAGTATACCCCAATATTGTTTCAATACAAAACTAATTTAAGCTATTGATATACATTGCATTATGTTTATATAAATAAATTATCTCAAACCAGTATTCCAAACCCAGTGCTGGGAATTGAACCTACAGTCCCACATGTGAAAAAGCCACGTTTTCTACCACTGAGTTATATCCCTACTCTAATCCTAGAAATATATTTTATACTCTGGACATCCATTTGTACTAACCATATTTCTGTGCTCAATAGCAACATATGGCTATGTGCTGCTGTACAGAGCAGCATAGCTCTGCTGTTACAGTCCCTGTCTTAGCACTATCAAACATGTATTCCTGAGGTATCACCCAACACCCTTGGTGTCTGCCCTTCTGTCTTGCCAATCAAACTCATCCTCAGTTTAGGTCAACAGTTCAGAAAGTCTTCACATTGAAGTCTGGTGTGTGTGTGTGTGTGTGTGTGTGTGTGAGAGAGAGAGAGAGAGAGAGAGAGAGAGCACATTGCTTGGAGATTTGAGTATCTCCCTCTATCACTCTACCTTATTTTCTGAGACAGGTGGGTGTCAGGAACAGAATTCAGGTCCTCATGCTTGTACAACAAGCACTATTCTGAATAAGCCAATTACTTAGGCCTTTGTGTCCTTGATATATACTACCAGTCCATATTATAATCAATTATTTTGTTATAGACATGAAAAAAATCAAAGATAAATACATTACTCCTGCTATCAGGTAGCTTATAGTAAAACAGAGGCATAAGGAAAGTATATGAAAAAATCAGAAAGGAGTCCAGATGCTAAAGATTGTGAACAGATAGTTATTACTACATAGGCTTGTTTGCCAATTCTCTCTCTCTCTCTCTCTCTCTCTCTCTCTCTCTCTCTCTCTCTCTCTCTCTCTCTCTCTCTCTCTCTCTCTCTCTCTCTCTCTCTCTCTCTCTCTCTCTCTCAGTTTTGGTTTTTCGAGACAGGGTTTCTCTGTGGCTTTGGAGGCTGTCCTGGAACTAGCTCTTGTAGACCAGGCTGGTCTTGAACTCACAGAGATCCGCCTGCCTTCCCAGTGCACCAATTCTATCTCTTATTAGCCTTCTGATCTCAAGCAAATGAGCCTCTCAAGCATGTTTACTAGGTAATAAACCCGACTAGGATAGCATTTAAGGATTAAGAGAGTTAATCCAATTAACTTTATAATGGTGGAGTTACAGTAAGCTCACAAGTATCAGCTACCCCTGTTATCTCTTAATTCAGAAGTGGACATAATTACTATTTCTTTACTAAATGATTAGCCCTAAAATGTGGTGAATATTAGAACACTAACTATAGCGAGCGTCAAGACTCAGAAATCTTTGATAAGATCCCAAAAGGACTTTGAGAGGGAATTATCAATTTGGGTCACACACAACAAAAGATGTAATGAAGGACAACTCAAAGGGAGACATGCCGGGAATCAAAGCAAGAAAACTGGATTGAGGACTAATACCAGCTACTCTTTAACACTGGCTTAGTAAGACCCTATACTTGACTGAGAAACTATATTGAAATTGAAAAAAGTAAGTGTAAAAGGTCAATGTTTTTTGTTTCTTTTTATAAATTCAAGGAATTTTTCTCCTACATGAAGGCACTGTTACTGAAATAATATACACAGATTAAATTCCTTAATAAAAATGACTACAATTAACAATATAATTTTATACAGTATCCACCTTCAGATTTTGTTTCTCTCAAAAATACAAGATCAACTTACTATTTACTAAATGGACTAGTTTCTTGTTATTTTGAGACAGGGTTAACAGACCTGGATGGCCTGGAACTAACTCACTTTTGTAAACCAGGCTGGCCTTGAGCTCAGAGAGACCTGCCTGTCTCTGCCCCTGGAGTGCTGGGATTAAAATTGTGCTCCACTATGCCCAGCTAACTGGACTGTTCTAATGACATTGCCAAATGGCACAAATAGCAGCTCTTTTAACCTACCAAAATCTGTGTGTTTTAAAACTCCTCAGTGTTGCTGCTAACTGCATAGGCTTTCCCCCACAAACAGTTATGTTTATACTTGGAGTTTACAGATGGCATCTTTGTCTCCAACTGAGCTATGCTGAGCTAATGAACTATTTCATTGATAAAATACACTTCCCTGCATTTCTAACCTCAATAGACTTGATATTAGAACCTGTGATGGTTATTCTTGCTTGTCAACTTGACTACATCTGGAATTAACTAAAACCCAAAAATGAAAGGCACATCTGTGAGGGATTATTGCTTAATTTGAACTAAGAAAATCCACTTCCAATCTGGATCTTGAGCTGAGACCTGCTGGAGGCCTACGAAAGGACACAGAAATAGGAAGCTTTTGCTCTTTGCCTCCTTGCTCTCACCTGGCTAGCAAGTCCATTCCTTCACTGGCATTAGAGACTACTTCTTCCGGATGCTGGTGTACAGTAAAGACCGGCTGAGACACCCAGCCTTGTGACTGAGCAACTACTGGATTCTTGGACTTTCCATTCATAGCCAGCCATTGTTGGATTAGTGAGACTGTACCCTGTAAGTCATTCTAATAAGCCCCCCCACATATATATAGATAGAGAGAAAGAGAAAGAGAGTCGTTTTATAAGTTCTGTTACTCTAGAGAACTCTATTATAGAACCCACCTTAGATTTCTGGTTGGTCTTGGCTTAATCCAGGGAAAATTTTTATATGAAGCCTTGACACTACTCAGTTGAAGAAATTTCTAGCTCAGTACAGCCTAACGTAAAATTTGTTAGCTGTGTTCACAAAAACAAAAGCTATTTTTATTGTGACTATGTCTGTCTGTCCCATTCTTTGCATTATAGTACCATCCGTGTATGAGAAGTTTGTTTTTCTGTGTGTGACTCACTCCCAAGTTAAGTTTCCCCCAAAATATTTACTGAGCTCCTACTATGTCTGAGGCACTATTCATGATGTCAGGGATAAAACAGGTCATAAAATGAATAGGAAGCCATTTCTGATGTCAAGCACTCTACCCCTTTATTGTTTTCATCCTATTCTTACACCAAGGAACTTGACAGTCACAACCTCTAACTTTCGGACCCCCAATGTCCAAATCCCAGACAGCAGCTGTTTTTCTGGACTTTCATCCACAATCATTCTCTACTGTTCTGTTAGAAAACAGAATTGTTCCGCAGAGCACGAACATAACCACCAATGGCGTACAGTAACTGGGCATCTTCCCCCTAGGGACTAGCAATTAAGATGATCTTCCTAAGGCTGTGCCTAACACAGAACTAAGAGATCTGAGGAAAAAACATACAATAAAACCTAGGTGAAAGAAAAAAGAAAAATATATAAGAAAGGAGGAAAAAGATTAAATTCACTATGCAGTTAAGAAGGAAACCATTCCTGATCTAAGAACTTCCCTCCACCCGTTTCATGAGTGACTTTCCTTTCCCGACATTCTTACGGGAAAACTACTTTTCTTCCTTCAAAACTTGAGGTGGTAAACACAACTGAAGTTTACTTAAGGGTCTCCCTCTAGAAAGTACTAGGGTGTGAAGGTTCAGCCGAGACCTCGGGAAGATGGGGATCACGGAGGGGGTTGGGGGTGGGGTCAGCGTCTGACTCAGGATGCTGCTTGGCCCAATTAGAGTCCATGCAACTTGGAGGGATACTCTTCCTCTGTGAACGGTGAGTGACAGCCCCGTCTAGGTGCCCATCACTTCTGTAGAGGCCCGGGCTCCTTCCCCTCCTCCCTGGTCAGGTGATAGCCGCGCGTGGGACTTTTCTTCCCAGGCTCATGATCCCGTGCTTTGCAAAGCCAAGGCCAAAGCCCGTAATGGGGACGCCCCACGGGATCCACCCCTGTGAGGTATTCCCAGGCTTCGAGCTCCCCGACACTCTGCTCCCCTGCAACCCAACACTCACCTGCGACCCCGGCGGCACCATCATAGAATCCCCCCCTGAGGGTGCTGAAAAAGAGAGGCTTCGTGGAGCCCCGCCCATCAACTTCTGTCTACCTCTATTGGCTGAGATGGCTGCTGCTCATGCGTTGCCGTTAATCCATTGGTCCAGGGAGGATTGCCACTCTGCCTGAGAGCCCGCCCCAGGCCAGGTCTCACAATGGGAATCGAGTCCCAAACCGGTTCCGGGTTAGTGCCCTGGACACCGCCCCGCAGCGATTCGCCTCCCGCTCAGCGCTCACTTTGTCACGTGGCCTTGTCAATCAAGCGTGCTTTAGCAAAGGATTGGTCCCTAGCAATAGGCTTGCCTCGCTGCTTGCCCGATTGGGGCACTGGCCTCCCCATCTCTAAATTCTACTCCCTGCCCTTGACCCTCGACCTATTACAAGGGAAAAGCAAAATGGAGAGCGTTGGCTTACCTCCACCGGGTCCCTGGGCCAGATCCTCTCTTACCTAGCGGCGACCTCGGCTTCTGAGAGTGTCTTTGCCTTCTTAAATCTAATAACCTTGACCTCAAATTGAACAGTGGTCTTGGGGCGGTTTCTTCAGTGTTTTCCATGTTCTCAGCCCCCTTATCCCTTTAGAGCCCCGGGGCTACTGTCTCCATTGGCATTGTTATTGAACCTGGCTTCCCACTGCTTCGGTTCACACATCTTCAGTTCTCCCTGAATTATACCTACACCCATCCTCCCATAGCCCAGTCTTCAAAGTCAGAGTCAAATTGAGATGTTTACAGTTCCTGGGCAAATCTCCCTAATTTTAGGACGAAGTGCAGACTCCTTAGAAGGCTTTCAAAAATCCCAAGCCTGCTTTTTTCTCAAGCTTACTTACAAGATTTCCCTTTTACTTTCCCCAGGTCTTTACTGTTCTAGCTCCAGGAACCTTCAGTGTCTCGGGAATACCTCTGCCTTTCTGAGTTTCAACACAGCAAGGGTTTTCCCAAGGTTTCCCACGCTCAGAATTCATTTTGGAAATTACTTTCTAAAATAAGCCTTCCTTTCCAGTTACTTTGCTGCTACTTCAATTTATCCCCCCAATAATGGTTTACCAGGTTAAAAAAAAAAAGATACCAAATTAAATTTCAATACCAACTTCAGTGTGACATTCCACGTTTTTATTTGCTGACTCTGACAACCCTGCTTAACTGAGATCCCATCACAACCTCTTTCTTTGCCCCTACAGCTTTCTTTGCCTAGCAAAGCACCTAGCATTAATAGGCATTTTAAAGGTGTAAATACATGATAAAATGTTGTGTATGAATGACAAATTCTTAATGGTTATTTCTAGAAGAATACTTCCATAAACTAGGATGTTGTGATGAAATATGTTCTTTGAAGATTAAGGATCAGTTTAAAGATTTTAAAAATACGTATTTTAAAAATACGATTTTTAAAAATCGTATTTGTTATTTTGCCTAAGTAGAACGAAATTGATTTTTGCCACTTTGAGAGAGACAGATACTTTGGTTTCTGAAATTTTTGCAAGAGTCTCCTTATGTAGAGCAAGCTGTCCTGGATAGAACTTTACAATCCCTCTGCCTCAGTACTACCATAAAGACCTAGCCAAAAACTTCTATTCTGTAGAACAGGAATAAAAGTCTCCATGCCAAAATTCACCCTAATGAATGATCCATCACTATTTAGCAGGTCAGCAAATGCTTGATTATCCCACATATCCATTACCTTTACTACATCTCTTTGCCAGTGTCCACAGAAGTTGTGGAAATGCTCTATGTGTAAGTTACAAATTAATATTTTACCCATGTTCTTTGTTTGTAGGCAGTAGAAAAGGCTGTGATCAACACACACAGTACAGATGTCTCAAGCCCTTACCAGGTTTTGACCTGGGAGGAATGACAAACTCAGAAAGTTGGTTTTGAGTATATAAATTTTACTTCACACTTATGTCAAAGCAACACACAAGCATAAGCAAACAATCCTAAGAACCACAGACAATAGGCTCACAGCAGGGGTGTACCTCTCCTGCAGCAGCCCACAGGTTCAGGCTGGGACTTCTGTTCCTCTGGATTTAACCTGTCGAGTCTCCTGAGGGCCCTGTGTCATGGAATCGGGTTCAGAACAGGCTGCACTCAGCTTGATGGACTGGTTGTTTCAGGTTAGTGGAGGAGAGCTCCAGGACATAAGAGTCCTGGTACACTCTAAAGTTCGTAGTTCTGAGCTGGTCCTTAAATAGTTTGCTAAATCTTGCTAATCACACTTTGTCACACTCCACACATTCTCACTCTTACCTACAATGGCCAGGTAGTGGGCCTATACTCCTTTTCTTTTTAGCCTTTCTTCAGCCAGGCCTCTGCCTGCCAGGTTGTAACCTTTGTCTTAATGTCCCTCCAGCCAGGCCTTTTGCCTGCCTGGTTACAAGGCTCCTTACAATACCTTTGACTACTTACCGTTTTATAGTTCTTATGGGTAAGAGCCATGATGGCTCACAAGGTTGGTTTTTGTTGTTGTTGTTGTTCAGCTATAGAAGCAATGTGCTGAAATCTTTTTATTCTGTAGAAAGAAACAAACAACAACAGTTAGCAGAAGCAACACGCCTTCCATATCTTCACATAGTTAAGTAATATTCTGTAGCATAAAGAAATGTAACGCATCTTTGCCCAGTTAAGTAATATTCCACAACGTGTGTGTGTGCGTGTGTGTGTGTGTGTGTGTGTGTGTGGTGTGTGTGTTATGTTCAGGTCCCTTCCATATTTATATTGTGAAAACCTTATCCCTAGATGTTTGGACCTGGGGCCTTTAGACATGATTACATCATGAGAGTAGAGCCTTCTTAAGTGGGATTAGAATATTCCTTTTCCCTCTCTGCTTTGAGGATGTAGCTAGAAGATAGACATATACACAGTCATCAGGCATAGCATCTGCCAATACATTGAACTCAGACTTTCCAGCCTTTGTCATTTTGTTAAATAGGATTTTGGTTGATGAAGCCACCCACTCTGTGTGCATGGTGTGGGTGGGTGGGGGTGTCTGTGTCTCTGTGTGTGTTTGGGGGTGATGGGTGCAATTGTGGAGGTGTGTGTGTATGGGGTATGTTCTGTTTTTACCAGGTTGAATGGACTAAACTGCTGTCTATACATACAAATGCAAGACATTAAATCTGCAGTCTAAGTCACTGCTAAGAAAAAGTCAAATGTGGGGGATTCTGATAATTAATTGGTTTTGAAAAATTCTGAGTCCATAAAAAGATAAATTAGAAGATTACTTTATTAGCATACTTTGACATGTAATCCTTTTATCCCTGTTTTCCTGGTGTTATCATTAATGGTGACTTTCAGCTTATCTATCATTGATCAACCTGTGACTCCATCATATCTCCAGCAGCAGACAGTTCTCTCCACTGGACTCTGCTCTCCTCTGAAAGCCATGGTCTGTTAATTCATTAGTGTACTCTTCTATATTGAACCTTTGATTTATCTAAAGACTTCTGAAAGACAAAACGTATACAGCAAAATAGACTCTCTTTTCATTTTCTTCATATGCCTCATTCCCAATGATCCCTACCTTGGAAATTCATCACTAGCCCTTTGTCTTTAACATCTTCATTTCTGTTTGATATTACATTCTTACTGCCCTCTCCCTCACTTTACTTTCTAATCTCTTCCTACTTTGTTATATTATTACAACATGTACAGCCAAAGTATGTATATAGATGATAATTTACTGGATTTAAAAATATTCTGGTTATCAGTCAGGAGTTTGAAAGCAAATAAATAGGTCGTGTAGTATTTTCTTAGACACAAAAAGTCCCTCAAAGACTCAAGTAGTTTGTTTTACTAATTTTTGTGGTACTGATTTTCACACATCTTACTGTTTTTCCCCAGAACAAAAGCAAAACATTTTTTCTATTGTGTATACGATAATAATGAATGTTAAATTATAATTATTTTAAGTTAAAAAATTAAAGGTATTTCATATTTGTTTAAAGAAAAAGCTAAGTTTTATGGTAAAAATACTTTTATCCCACCTTATGAATTTTTCAAAGTCTTTTTACTTCTTGAGCACATTTTTCAGCTTGGCTAAAGTGTAGCAAAGTGTGTGTCATATTCTACACTTATGTAGTAGACAGTGCTCCCACATGTAGATATTGATAACTCAGGCTCTTCATTCTGCTTGGGAAGTGGGAAGGGTTTTATTTTTAATAGAATTTGGAATGGTGTCAGAATCCAAGGTTTCATCACTATAGCAACAGATAACAATGGAAGCACTAAATGTCAAACAAATTCAATGTTACCATAGTAACATTCAGTTACTTTAATAAATACTTTCACTATTCCTTTCTGTTCAGTTTCTCTAAAATGCTCATCCAATATTGTTAAGTTTCTGTTTAAGTTTAAAAATATAAAAAGAGGCATAAGATGAGACATGAGAACTAGAGATATATTAAACATAGTTTATTCCAGGAGAGGGAGGGGGAGAGCAGGGGAGAGAAAGGAAGGCAAGAGAGAGAAGTGAGGAAGAGAAGAGAGAGGAGAGGAAAGAGCAAAGGAGAGTAAGAAAGACAGTGTAAGAGGAAGAGAAGAGAGTGTAAGTGGGTAAGAATCTGTCTTTTGAGGGGGTCCTTTACACCTGTGTGCAAACTTAGTTCCCATGGAACCCTGGCCTGACCAGGGTACTGCCTGAGTGGATTCTGCCAGGTAACAGAGTCACGCCAGTGTACCTGAACCTTTCAAATATGGATACTCAAAATGGCGGAACGTTCAAAATTATTTTAAAAGAAAAACTCTTCAAAAGACAAAGGCAATTTGCTACACTGTCTATTATTTACTAAGAAACCCACATGATTCTGAAAGAAACCCTTGTGAGGGAAACAAGCTCTCGGTTCTGTTCCGATCAGTGTTCTTCCCTTTTTATTTACAGTCAGGAAGGTTGAAACGTGGCATTTACAACGCGTCTGCACTGCCATTGCATGTCATTTCAAGCCACTCCTTCTAAGCCCATGAATAGAGGCAGTTCTGCCATACAAAAGAAGAAATGCTGTGTTTTCCCCAGACTCAATCCTGCAGGGTCCTCCCTAGCCCTGCAACAGAACACCAACTGTTGCCTCTCTGCCCCATCCCCATCCACACCTCCTGTGGATCCCACACACCATCCCTTCCTGT